ATAAAATAATATACATACCAATAAAGTTGCACCACATGGAACTGTCTGCAGACATGCTGTTGTTGATAAAAGTGACTAACCAGTCAAATAGCCTGTAAAACAATAATAAAAATATTCTAGTTTCTTTTGGCTAGAATAAGAAAAATTGATGCTTAATTATGATTAACATGAGTATTTGTATATATAATTATTCACCCTCCTGTTCTTTTCTTTTCTTTTTTTAAATATTTCCCAAATTACACAGATTCAGGAAATGTTCACAGTATGTCTGATAACATTTTTTCTTCTGGAGAAAGTCTTATTTGCTTTATTTCGGTTAGAATAAAAGCAGTTTTAAATTTTTTTACGCCCATTTTAAGGTCAATATTATTAGCCCCCTTAAGCAATATTTGTTTTGGATTGCCTACAGCAGGGATTCTCCACCTGTGGGCCACAGCGATCCTGCAGGTGTGCCACAAGGTAGCTTAAAATTAACTTAAAGATTACACTATAATTATTTGATTTCAATATTAAATGTCATATTAAAATGATAATAGTAATGGCATTTCCTGTTTACTGTGATTAAACGGGCTAATTTGGACTGTAAAAACATCCTCACTGTTAAATACAGACATAACTGTGGCTTAAACTTCCAACCGCTGCGTGTCAACTGGGACTGTTGAATAAAGCAAACAGTCATGCAAGTGTAAAGGTAACGATGATGAGAGTCATCGGTGACTCGTATTGCATCAGAGTCGCACAAGTCTGTTGATTCACAAACTAGGCTATGCGCTTTCTCTTTGTGTGAACACTTTAAAATATCCGCATATTTGTCCAAATGAACATCCTGCAAGTGTTTTATAACTGACGCGGGTCCGTACAGGAGGATCTAGCAAAACTCGGTGGTGTTTCAGTAGTGAACATCTGTTCACTGATCCTGTCTGCGAACTCCAATAATGTCCAGCTACAAACCAAACCACCTTAAGATCAATGCGTTTCAACAGATTTAGCGTTTTTTTTATTTTTTTTATACAGTGTTTTACGTTTAGGTTATGTTGTTTATTTTAATAGATATAAATCAATAGATGAATAGAAGTCTGTCTAATTCAAAGCATCAGCAGATTTTTGCCATCTCCTGTAGTCCCGTCAGGTTCCTTTAGTGAAGAAAAGGCCCAAATACTCTTTGAACCGGTCAGTGCGTTTTTGTATTTATTAAAATAAATAAATAAATAAAAAATTATATATATATATATATATATATATATATATATATATATATATATATATATATATATATATATATATACACACACACACACACACACACACACACACACACACACACACACACACACACACACACACACATACATATATATATATATATATATATATATATATATATATATATATATATATATATATACACACACACACAAACACACACATACATACATATATTCATACAGTATATTTGTATATTAATACACACTAAAGTTACTTAAAATATGCACACAAATAATTATTTTTGCATTGCACTATTAATCATTTAATATTTACCATTATTGGAAATATAATTTTACTATTGCAAACTAGCTGTAGTTAGTTTTCTCAATCTCAGCATAACTGGCAAAAATCTTATTTTTCAACATAGATTCCAGTAGTTGCAGACTCCCTTATTTATAAATGAGTCTGCCACCCTAAATTGCCTGAAGCCCAGTATTTCTGCTTGCAGCTGTATTTGTAAATGGTTTTTAACCATTTCTTACATGATGCAAGAGAAGTTAAAGCCAAGCTCAAATATTTCACACTTATTAAGTTTAATGCTAATATAAAACAATAGTAATTTTAATGCAAACAAATGCGTGCATGATATTTGTGTAATAATAGTCACTAAGTTACACGCAAATAGTTTTTTCCCTTTATGTTATCCATGATTAAGTAGTATTTGTGTTTCATTAGTAATGTTTTTTTCACCATTGTTGTGTAAGGCAAATTCAAATATTCAGAGCACATTTTATGTTTATTGCTAATTTAAAAACAGTCGCAATTTTAATGCAAACAAATATGTTCATGATATTTGTGTAATAGTAGGCACTAAGTTACAAACAAATACTTTTTTTTTTTTTTTTTTGCATTGTTATCCATGATTCAGTAGTATTGTTTATTTAACCATGAGTTACATGAGGCAAACAAGCACATATTATGTTTAATGCCTATATAAAAACAACAGTAATTTGAATGCAAACAAATATGTGCATGATATTTGTGTAAGAGTAGGCACTAATTTACACACAAATAAGTGTTTTTGCATTATGTTAGTTATGTTAATTAGTAACTATTATGTTAGTCAAGAATAAATATAAAATATTTTGAGCACATGTTTTCTTTAAAACAGATTTTTTCAGTGTTTTTGATGCAAATTTAGTCTCTAAATTTATTCTCTCCAGACATGGACGTCGCGCTGTCTGATGAAATATTATGCCACTGTGGCAACTTCTTCTCAGAGGTGCCAGGACACTGTAGAAAGGATAGAAAAACGAGTACTGGACTCCAACCCTGTCATGGAGGCTTTTGGTAAGAAATCCAGAGGCAAAAATGACCACCGAATTAATACTTAAGCATAACTCTCTTTCTTAATCCATTGTTTTCCTCTTCCTCAGGCAATGCATGCACATTACGCAACAACAACAGCAGTCGCTTCGGAAAATACATTCAGCTTCAGCTCAACAGGTCAGGCTTTTTTTGTTTTATTGACTTTAGGCATATAAACTTAAAGCATCTTGTGATTGGTTTAAGTATTTGTGATTTTATAATGCAGTTCTCAGTTGCTGGTTGGAGCATCAGTGCAGACGTATCTTTTGGAGAAGACCAGAGTGGCTTTCCAAGCACCAAATGAGAGAAATTTCCACATATTCTACCAGGTAAATTATTTACACAACCTTATAAAAATACTTTTTATGTAATTTTTACTGAAATTACAAATAATATAACAATATATTTCATGCTGATGCTTATTTAACTTGGTCAAGTTAACATTCTATTTAATTATTTAATGATGATTAAAGGTAGAGATGGTCAAAAATAGGTATAGTGGGAGTGTTTAAGTTCATATTTCTAAAGCTAAATATCACTAAATACACATAGAAACATTGTTTTTAGAGATATCTTGATCATATTATCTATATATATTTTTTAAAACTGGTGTCATCGCTCTCCACTTCAAAATTTAAATTCAACACATTTTTAGATATGGGAGTCTAATTGATTTATTTAAGTATATTTTAAATATGCTTTCTTAGTATAATGGAATTTATAGCATATGCATTTTTATGCATTTAATAGCACTTTAGTCAACTTTGGTTGTTTTTAAATGTGCTTTATGAATGAATATTTGAAGTTTGCAAAATGTACTTGCAACTCTACCTGACAAAAGCCTTGTCATCAATCCCAGTTGTAAGAGCAACGAATAATAACTTGACTTCTAGTTGATCATTTGGAAAAGTGGCAGAAGGTAGATTTTTCCTGATAAATCATCTGTGGAGCTGCATCCCAATCATCACAAATACTGCAGAAGACCTACTGAACCCACATGGACCCCAGAAGCTCACAGAAATCAGTCAAGTTTGGTGAAGGAGAAATCATGGTTTGGGGTTACATTCAGTATAGGGGCGTGCGAGAGATCTGCAGAGTGGGTGATCAACATCAACAGCCTGAGGTATCAAGACATTTGTGCTGCCCATTACATTACAAACCACAGGAGAGGGACAATTCTCCAGCAGCATAGCGCTCCTGCTCATACTTCAGCCTCCACATCAAAGCTCCTGAAAGCAAAGAAGATCAAGCTGCTCCATGATTGGCCAGCCCAGTCACCAGACATAAACATTATCGAGCATGTCTGGGGTAAGATGAAGGAGGAGGCATTGAAAATGAATCCAAAGAGTCTTGATGAACTCTGGGAGTCCTGCAGGAACGCTTTCTTTGCCATTCCAGATGACTTTATTAATCAGTGATTTGAGTCATGTCAGAGATGTATGGATGCAGTCCTCCAAGCTCATGATGGAGTCAGACACAATATTCATTCTGTCTCCACTGCAGCAGGACTTTATATTCTATACTGGACATTAATTCTGTTCAGTGATGAGACTTTAGTCTAAGCAGAGTCAGACTTTACTGTCCTAATGAAATCATTCAAAATCAAGGCATGATCATATTTTATTTTAGTCAAATAAGCGTCATCTAGAGGTCATTGCCTTTCATTTAAGACAATTCTGATATCAAATAATCTTGAATGATATTTGTTGTTCCTAAAACTTGGATTCGCAACAAGATTTTTGTCAGGTTGTGTAGAATCTGCCACATGCATCTGCAAACATTCAAATGTGTCCAGCAGTCGATTTTATTTGCAAAGATTGCACATGTGTTATGATTTGTTGTCTGACTGTTTGTTTCTTTCATTTAAAGATGATGAAGGGAGCCACAGAGCAACAGAGACTGGAATGGATGCTGCCTCTGGAGCAAGACTTTGTTTGGCTGCCACATGCAGAGAAAACTTTAGAAGGCAAGTGTCTTACTTCCAAGAATTAATATTTTAAAGCATGCAAGTCAGTATTTGGAGAAATGTAAGGACATTTATATTGGAGCTGTGGGGATGAATTGAGAAATTATTGTGCCATCAGTTGTAAAACATTAGCCTAGAGTGCCATCTGGTGTTAAACTAGCTTAGAGCACCGTATGCTGTTATAAAACTAGACTAAAACGACATCAGCTGTTAAAAAACGAACCTAGAGCAACATCGGCTGTTTAACAGCTAGCCTAGAGCGCCATCGATTGTTTAAAAACTAGAGTAGAATGCCATCAGCTGTTTAAAAATGAACCTAGAGCGCCGTTGGCTGTTTAACAGCTAGCCTCGAGCCCTATTGGCTGTTTAAAAACTAGCCTAAAGTGCCATATGCTGTTTAAAAACTAGCCTAGAACAACGTCAGCTATTAAAAAACTAGCTAAGAACAACATCGGCTGTTAAAAAACTGGCCTAAAACAACGTTGGCTGTTTAACAGCTAGGTTAGAGCACCGTCGGCTGTTTAAAAACTAGCCTAGAATGCCATATGTTGTTTAAAACCATATGTTGTTTAAAAGCGTAGAATGGCATCGGCTGTTCAACAGCTAGCCTAGAGCGCTGTCGACTGTTTAAAAACTAGACTAGAATGCTATCGGCTGTTTAAAAATTAATCTAGAGCGCCGTCGGCTGTTTAACAGCTAGCCTCAAGCGCCGTCGGCTGTTTAACAGCTAGCCTCGAGCGCCGTTGGCTGTTTAACAGCTAGCCTCGAGCGCCGTCGGCTGTTTAACAGCTAGCCTCGAGCGCCGTCGGCTGTTTAACAGCTAGCCTCGAGCGCCTTCTGCTGTTTAACAGCTAGCCTCGAGCGCCATCGGCTGTTTAACAGCTAGCCTCGAGCGCCATCGGCTGTTTAACAGCTAGCCTCGAGCGCCATCGGCTGTTTAAAAACTAGCCTGGAACAACATCAGCTGTTAAAAACTAGCCTAAAACAATGTGGGCTGTTTAACAGCTAGCCTAAAGCGCCGTTGGCTGTTTAACAGCTAGGTTAGAGCACCGTCGGCTGTTTAAAAAACTAGCCTAGAACGACATCGGCTGTTTAAAAACTAGCCTAGAACGACATCGGCTGTTTAACAACTAGCCTAGAACGACATCGGCTGTTTAACAACTAGCCTAGAGCGCTGTCGACTGTTTAAAAACTAGACTAGAATGCCATCGGCTGTTTAAAAATTAATCTAGAGCGCCGTCGGCTGTGTAACAGCTAGCCTCGAGCGCCATCGGCTGTTTAAAAACTAGCCTGGAACAACATCAGCTGTTAAAAACTAGCCTAAAACAACGTGGGCTGTTTAACAGCTAGTCTAAAGCGCCGTTGGCTGTTTAACAGCTAGGTTAGAGCACCGTCGGCTGTTTAAAAACTAGCCTAGAACGACATCAGCTGTTTAACAACTAGCCTAGAGTGCTGTCGACTGTTTAAAAACTAGACTAGAATGCCATCGGCTGTTTAAAAACGTAATATAGAACAGCATCAGCTGTTTAAAAACTAGCCTAGAACGACATCGGCTGTTTAACAACTAGCCTAGAACGACATATGGTGTTTAAAACTTAGCATAGAATAGCATCGGCTATTTAAAAACTAATCTAGAACAACATCAGGTGTTTAAAAGCTAGTCTAGAGCGCCGTCAACTGTTTAAAAATTAGACTAGAATGTCATTGGCTGTTTAAAAACGTAATATAGAACAGCATCAGCTGTTTAAAAACTAGCCTAGAATGCCATATAGTGTTTAAAACTTAGCATAGAATGGCATTGGCTGTCTAACAACTAGTCTACAGTGCCGTCGACTGTTTAAAAACTAGACTAGAATGCCATTGGCTGTTTAAAAACGAACCTAGAGCACCGTCGGCTGTTTAACAGCTAGCCTCGAGCGCCTTCGGCTGTTTTAAAAACTAGCCTAAAACGCCGTATGCTGTTTAAAAACTAGCCTAGAACAACGTCGGCTGTTTAACAGCTAGCCTAGAGAGCCATTGGCTGTTTAACAGCTAGGTTAGAGCACCGTCGGCTGTTTAAAAACTACCCTAGAACGCCATGTGGTTTAAAACTTAGCTTAGAATAGCATTGGCTGTTTAAAAACTAACCTAGAACAACATCAGCCGTTTAACAGCTAGCCTAGAGCGCCGTCGACTTTAAAAACTAGACTAGATTGTCATTGGCTGTTTAAAAACTTAATATAGAACAGCATCAGCTGTTTAAAAACTAGCCTAGAGCGCCGTCGGCTGTTTAACAGCTAGGTTAGAGTGCCATTGGCTGTTTAAAAACTTAATATAGAACAGCATCGGCTGTTTAACAGCTAGGTTAGAGCACCGTGGGTTGTTTAAATTCTAGCCTAGAACAACATCAGCTGTTTAACAGCTAGCCTAAAGCGCCGTCGACTGTTTAAAAGCTAGCCTTAAGTGCCATATGGTGTTTAAAACTTGGCATAGAATGGCATCGGCTGTTTAAAATCTAACTCAGAAAGACGTTGGCTGTTTAAAAACCAGCCTAGAGCGCCGTCAGCTGTTTAACAGCTAGGTTAGAGTGCCATTGGCTGTTTAAAAACTTAATATAGAACAGCATCGGCTGTTTAACAGCTAGGTTAGAGCACCGTGGGTTGTTTAAATTCTAGCCTAGAACAACATCAGCTGTTCAACAGCTAGCCTAAAGCGCTGTCGACTGTTTAACAGCTAGCCTAAAGCGCCGTCGACTGTTTAAAAGCTAGCCTTAAGTGCCATATGGTGTTTAAAACTTGGCATAGAATGGCATCGGCTGTTTAAAATCAAACCCAGAAAGACGTTGGCTGTTTAACAGCTAGCCTAAGGCGCCATCAACTGTTTAAAAACTAGCCTAGAGTGCCTTCAGCTATTTAACAGCTAACCTAGAAGGCTGTCAGCTGTTAAAAAACTAGCCTAGAGCACTGTCTGTTGTTTAAAAACTAGCCTACAGTGCCATCTGATGTTAAAAACCAGCCTAATCCGCCATCTATTGTACAAAAAACACTAACCTAGAGTTCCATTTGCAGTTAAAGGCTAGCCTGGAGCACCTTCTGCTGTTAAAAGTTAGCCTAGAGCGCAGTCTGCTGATAAACTAACCCAAAGCACAATCTGCTGTTAAAAAAACTAGCCTGGAGCTCATAATCAATTCCAGTGAGAATTGCAGTGCATTTGGAGAAAATCTCAGAATCAGTGCAGAATGATTTCTTAACTGGATTTATTGCAGCTGCAGCTCTAATATTTTTTGACTTTCTGTTCGTGTCTGAGCAGAAGACTGTTTGCAAGAGACGGTGGAAGCCATGATCAGCCTTGGCATTGATGAAGGGAAACGGGCACAGATATTCAAGGTATATTATTATATTATTAAAGCATATTATATTAAATTATTCGTATATTATATTAAAGCATCAGTGGTGTTTCGAGATGAGTGCTGTCAATGTTGGTCAGCGATTAGTTATGTTTTTAGTTACTGATTAAGGGTGTCACGATCCTCCAAATCCTCGATTCGATTACATTTTTGATTCTTAAGTCACGATTCGATTTTCGATTAATTAATGACCAATTAATTATTTGTAGCCTACCGTTTAAACTACCTGACCTGCGTGGTCTTTGTTTTACCCATAAACAAATCATACAGTAAATGAATAAAGGCAAGATGCACACATAATTACCAAAATCGATCTATTGAATTAATCAATCTATTAAAGAAATGTTGGCTAGAATTCTGCATTTTTGGCTTAAATTATAGAGAGACCTATGTTATATATGGCAGATGAACCGAGACTGCATCAGATCGCGAAGCAGATTAATGTTGATCATTTCCGCACTGACAGCTCGAAAGAAAGAACAAAACAACTGGCCTAACACAACATATTATAAGATTAAAACATGAAAAAATGATCAGATAGTAACTTCGGTCAATTGTCCTAACGGATAAACCGAGATCAGGCTGGATAAACAGCTCTCGGTAATATTTCAGCATGCTTTCACTTTTGCATTTACTGGTAAGAATGACATCTCGCCCTGCTCATCATTCTCTCTTCATATAGCCGTATATATGGCTATTACACGATCATAATACACTGTGATATAGCCTGGGTCGTTAGTTCGTTGCATTGTTTCGTTTTCTCTCTACAATCGATCCTCTTAATAGGGCAGAGACCGTCTCATTCAGGCGATCTAGGACTGATTTGGCCCAGATGCGAGCGCAACTGCTGGATGTATGCCAAACAAACCGCGCTAACGGGGGAAACGAGACAGATTCCGAAACAAACGTCTATGTGTGAAAGCACTGTAAGATTGTATTTGCACACAATTGACAGACAGTCGCAGCACGCAGCTCTGGCTTGATCTGGCACGCAACAAGGCAGCACTGTACACTGACCCGAGCGTCTCGCACGCTGGCCCCGGGCCATCGGGCAGTCCTTATTGTCGAGCCCTGAAAGTTTAAGCCCTGTCGACGGGTCTCCTGCGTCTGCACAGTTTAACAAGCACTTCAACAAGCCTGTTATTCGGAATCTGTCTCGTGACATTGGGGGCGTGGCAGCATCGACGATTCTATTTTTTGATCCGATAATCGAAATTGAGCATACATTTCGATCGATTTCGATTTAAAATCGAAATCGTGACACCCTTATTACTGATTGCATTTTAGTAATTTGATCTTTAAATTTAGATTTGTTTTGTTTAATTTTTGACAGTTTGATTAATGAAACACTTTAAATAATGGACTGAGAATAAGATCGAAGAGCTGAAACGTGTGTGTTTATGCCATTAATAAAATGACTTGTTAAATTCTGAGTGTGAGGGTTTATTGTAGCTGTTTTACACACTAACAAAAAACGAAACAAAAGAGACCAGATTGTTCCTATTTATTGAGAGGAAACTGATGTGATTGTTGTTTTTCTGAAAAGATTCTTGCAGGTCTTCTGCAGTTGGGGAATGTGGACTTCAGTCCCGCACCAGAAGAGGCTCAGCCATGTGATCTCAGTGGACAATCCAAAGGTGTGATGTGTTTCTGCTGTAGTGTTTATCTAAAAGGCAAGTTACGGCAAAGAATTAGGTTGCATGACTCTTGACATGATGAGACGCAGTACTTGTGTAAGTATTGCAAGTTCCTTTCTGTGTTGCGAAATGTCCCCATCACATTCCTTCCTTTCAATCTCTTAAATATGTCCTTGTTTATATTTTAAAGTTAATAAATATAATTTTTCCTGTGGTTTTAAAGCTTAACATTTAACATCTGTGTAGCGTGACGCCTCAGAAATTATTTTAATATGCTCAAGAAACATTTTTGATCATTATAAGTGTTGTTTTTTTAACAGTTGTGCTGATTTTTATTTTTATGCTACTTTAAAGTAATAATAATAATAATAATAATGGGCATCACGGTGGCACAGTGGGTAGCACGATCGCCTCACAGCAAAAAGATCGCTGGTTCGAGAATTGGATGACTCAGTTGGCATTTCTGTGTGGAGTTTGCATGTTCTCCCCATGTTCATGTGGGTTTCCTCCGGGTGCTCCGGTTTCCCCTACAAGTCCAAAGACATGCAGTACAGGTGAATTGGGTAAGCTAAATTGTCATTAGTGTATAAGTGTGAATGACTGTGTATGGATGTTTCCTAGTAATGAGTTGCCGCTGGAAGAACATCCCCTGCGTAAAACATATGCTGGATAAGTTGGCGGTTCATTCCGCTGTGACGAACCCAGATTAATAAAGGGACTAAGCCGACAAGAAAATGAATGATGAATTAATTAATGATAATATGTTTTTATTGCAAAGAGACAAAATTCACAATATATGCTAGCCATTTGTCCCTTTTACAGCTTTAAAAAATGACCTAAAATAATATATTAATGTCATAGTTGAACAGTAGGTTGTACGTTATATTATTATTATTATTATTATTATTATAAATAATAATAATAATATTTGCTCATTTTTTATTTACTATTGTTATTGTTGTTATTATTATTATAATTAATTCATGCTATTTATCATTTTTTTAATGTTCATTAATTTTTGTAGTTTTTATAATTATTTTATTTCGTCTTGTTATTAAAGTTTAACAGGAAATGTGGAAAGTCTTTCACTATGTCTGGCATATCAAGCATTTATGTTTTTCATTCATTCATTTTCCTTCAACTTAGTCCCTTAGTCCCTACAGCAGAATGAACCGCCAACTATTCTGGCATATGTGTTTATGCAGCAGATTCCTTTTCAGCTGCAACCCAGTACTGGGAAACTCTCGCATTCACTGATGCACTCAAACACTACAGCTCATTTAGTTCATCAGTTCCCCTATAGCGCATGTGTTTGGACTGTGGGCAAAACCAAAGCACTCGCATGAAACCCACGCCAACACGGTGAGAGCATGCAAACTCCACACAGAAATGCAAACTGGCCCAGGCGGGACTCGAACCAGCGAGCTTCTTGCTGTGAGGCCACAGTGCTAACCACTGAGCCACCAATTATGTTCTTTTAACTCAATAAAAAATTCTTTGATGAATAAACAATTCTCAAATTTAATTATAAGCAACTGCATCAAAGTCTTTGCTATTACATTTCATCAAAGTGATGTGTTCTGCTAGAATAATATCCTTTTAAAAAATCATATAAAAATATAACTTACTCAGTGAGAACATTGTACTTTTAATTGAACCATGTCAGCATGCTGAGCAGCAGTTTGTGTTGGTCACTGCTCTCTTCATGTTCATTCATACATTTTTCTTAAGCTTAGTCCCTTATTTTCTCTTCATGTTGTTTGTAGGTTTTCTGCAGAAAGCGGCGGATCTGCTGCAGGTTTCTTTAGATGAGCTGCAGTCGTGTCTGATAGTGAGAACTCTGCGTGCTGGCAAACAAAACATCCTCAAACCTTGCTCTCAGTCCGAGTGTGGCATCCGCAGAGACTGTCTTGCTAAAGTCATTTATGCACAGTGAGTAATTGTAAAGTACAACTCTTGCACAAAACGAATCCCAAAATTTGCTTTATTGTTTTTAATTGTCTAAACAGTAAGGCCAGAATTATTCACCCCCCTGTTTATTTTTTCCCCCAATTTCTGTTTATCGGAGAGCAGAATTTTTTTAACACATTTCTAATCATAATAGTTTTAATAACTCATCTCTAATAACTCATTTATTATATCTTTTAAATGATGACAGTAAATAATATTTGACTATATATTTTTCAAGACACTTCTATACAGCTTAGTGACATTTAAAGGATTAACTAGGTTAATTAGGGTAAAGTTAGGGTAATTAAGCAAGTCCTTCTATAACAGTGGTTTGTCCTGTAGACCATGGTTTCTCAACCTTTTTCACTTCAAGGGCCACCTTTTTCTCCGAAAATCTTTTGAAGGCCTAAACTGATTATCTAGAGAAAATAGTTATTTTAAAGCTTTATTTATAAGCAAAACATTTATTTTGCCTTCAATTATTCCCTTATTTTGTACACCATTTTTAAAAAAACATATATATATATATATATATATATATATATATATATAATTTTTTTTTTTTTTTCATAAATAAAAAAAACGCACTGACAGGTTCAAAGTTCAAAGAGTATTTGGGCCTTTTCTTCACTAAAGGAACCTGATAGGACTACAGGAGATGGCAAAAAAACTGCTGATGCTTTGAATTAGACAGACTTCTATTCATCTATTGTTCTATATCTATTCAAATAAACAACATAACCTAAACGTAAAACATTGTAAAAAAAACAACAAAAAAACGCTAAATCTGTTGTAACGCATTGATCTTAAGGTGGTTTGGTTTGTAGCTGGACATTATTGGAGTTCGCAGACAGGATCAGTGAACAGCTGTTCACTACTGAAACACCATCGAGTATTGCTACAGTAGATCCTCCTGTACGGACCCGCGTCAGTTATAAAACACTTGCAGGATGTTCATTTGGACAACTATGCGGATATTTCAAAGTGTTCACACAAAGAGAAAGCGCATAGCCTAGTTTGTGAATCAGCAGACTTGTGCGACTCTGATACAGTACGAGTCACCGATGTGAGGCACGCGCGAGCTGGTTATTATAACTCTCATCATCGTTACCTTTACACTTGCATGACTGTTTGCTTTATTCAACAGTCCCAGTTGACACGCAGCGGTTGGAAGTTTAAGCCACAGTTATGTCTGTAATTAACAGTGAGGATGTTTTTACAGTCCAAATTAGCCTGTTTAATCACAGTAAACAGGAAATGCCATTACTATTATCATTTTAATATGACATTTAATATTGAAATCGAATAATTATAGTGTAATCTTTAAGTTAATTTTAAGCTACCTTGTGGCCCACAGGTGAAAAATCCCGGCTGTAGGCAATCCAAAACAAATATTGCTTAAGGGGGCTAATAATATTGACCTTAAAATGGGCGTAAAAAAAATAAAAACTGCTTTTATTCTAACCGAAATAAAGCAAATAAGACTTTCTCCAGAAGAAAAAATATTATCAGACATACTGTGAACATTTCCTGAATCTGTGTAATTTGGGAAATATTTAAAAAAAGAAAAGAAAAGAACAGGAGGGTGAATAATTATATATACAAATACTCATGTTAATCATAATTAAGCATCAATTTTTCTTATTCTAGCCAAAAAAAACTAGAATATTTTTATTATTGTTTTACAGGCTATTTGACTGGTTAGTCACTTTCATCAACAACAGCATGTCTGCAGACAGTTCCATGTGGTGCAACTTTATTGGTATGTATATTATTTTATTACATACTTTTGTTCAGGGCTGCACGATACAGGGAAAATATGCAATGTTGTCGTTGCCATAACAATTATTTGTATGATATAACTAACTTTCAAAAGCTCTTTTATCATCAGTTTTTAAATGTCTTTTATTCATGTTATAATTATACACTGTAAAAATATCTGTAAAGGAACCGTTTCTGTATTTTGTGTGCTTCCTGTTTATTTACGGTTGTGAATTGCTTTATGGGATGCTTATCTCTGCTCTGTCGACTTTTAACGTTGAAAATTTAACCCGTCAGTTTAATAAAGTGACTTTTATTGACATTTAGCAGTAATAATATAATTTATAAGAAATAATATCTAGCAAAGTAAATCTGTAAAATACCAGAAAATGGGCTGCAGTTTATTACAATGTTTCTGTGGCATAATATACAACACCAAACCAGACAATATAGCACTGCAAACTATCAAAGATGTTCATAAAAGTCACTTTTTAAAGCTTTCTAAGGATAAAAGTTGTTGGATAAAAAGATCAAGCTCCCATAATACAATTCAAAGAATAAATAAACGGGGAAAAATAAAAACATGAATCACATAATATGGATAACTGCATATTTATGGAATTTTTTTCATAGTAAACTAAAATAAATAAGTAATAGAAATGTCTCTGAGCTAATTAAATCTCAAATAAATGTCAGTGTGTAAACATTTAGACTTTAAAACACCACAAATTACTAAAAACCTCGAAGGAAATTCTGATTTTGATCGTCAGTGTTCATTTTCCTCTCTCATCTCCTAGCCTTAGTCTCGCCTCCTACTGGTGAGGTGGAACTAAAGATAGTAAAGGCCTCATCTGATTTGTCAGATTTGGAATTGACAACCTATGCATGCAGCACACAAGTGCTTACCACATAAAATAGGCTTTATTTTTTGCACTTCTCTGTGAAATGGATATTGCATGTTTAAACAGACTTTAATAAGTTATTTTTAATTTCTCAATTTACTTTACAATATGTTTTGTATGTGAAGCATTGTTTAATGAGTGTATTATTTTTGTCGTTTATGGGGACTTTTATTTTGAAATGGGCCTAAAATTGAAAGGAAAAAAGATATGGTGAACAGCTTAACAGAACTCCTGCAAAAACAAATTGTAAGTGGAACCATATACAGTACTATGATCGGGATAACAATACTATTTCAATACATTGTGCAGTCCTACTTTTGTTATACATTTCTAAATGTGTTACTTTCTACTCTATTTTTCATATAACTTAAATAAAAAATAAAAATACTTTTACAAAACTCAACCATGACTCGTGTCTTCGACAGGTCTGCTGGATGTGTATGGTTTCGAATGCTTCCTCCTGAATAACCTGGAGCAGCTGTGTATTAATTACGCTAACGAGAAGCTACAGCAGCACTTCGTGGCTCATTATCTGAAGGCCCAGCAGGAGGAGTATGTGAGTGAGGGGCTGCAGTGGTCTTTCATTCGTTACCAAGACAACCAGGGCTGCCTGGACCTGATTGAAGGCAGTCCCTCCAGCATCATCTCTCTGCTCAATGAGGTCTGTGCACACTTTCGGATAAATGACATGGATAAATATAAATGTTATGCAATTTTTATTTTATTTTTTGCATGAATGCAATGGCTTTATCTGCAATGCTTTATGAAAATGAGACACCAACTAATGTTTAACAACTAACAATGTGCAATATATGTTTGTTACAGTTGTTGTTCAGTCAGGGATAATTGATAGCTGCCCTCTAAATTATCGCAAAAGTAATGCACACCTGAAATTGTGATGCTTTACACATCGAGTTTGTATTATTTTCTAATAATTTAATGGACAGTATTCAATTATTCCACTTGTATAACAGTCCCCACACTGTTCAGATGTTGTATTTTAAGACATTTGTCAGGTTTTTGTCTGTCTGTCTGTAGTGCTTTCATTCTTACTTTCTGTTGTTTTATATATCTATCCTTCTATCTATCTATCTATCTATCTATCTATCTATCTATCTATCTATCTATCTATCTATCTATCTATCTATCTATCTATCTATCTATCTATCTGTCTATCTGTCTGTCTGTCTGTCTGTAGTGCTTTCATTCTTACTTTCTATTGTTTTATATATCTATCCTTCTGTCTCTTATCTATCTCTCTATCCAGCTATCGTTCTAGCTATCTATCGTTCTAGCTATCTATCATTCTATCGTTCTATTCATCCATCCATCCATCCATCCATATATATCTGTCCGTCCGTCCGTCCATCCATCTTGTTCCATCTATCCTTCTATCTTTTTATCTGTCCATATATCGTTCTATCTATTTGTCTATCTTTCTATCCATCTAGCATTTTAGCTATCTATCCTTCTGTCTATCCTTCTATCTGTCGTTTTATCCTTATATTTGTCATTGTTTTATCTATCATTCTATCTACCTATTGTTCTTTCTTTCTATCATTCTATATATGTATCGACATATTGTTCTTTCATTCTATTGTTCTGTCTATCTTTCTTTCTATCGTTCTGCTATCCATCCATCCATCCATCGTTCTTTTTATCTATTGTTCTTTCTATCATTCTATTTACAGTCTATCTATCTATCTATCTATCTATCTATCTATTTATCTATCTATCTATCTATCTATCTATCTATCTATCTATCTATCTATCTATCTATCTATCTATCTAATATAAAAATAATGGTACATCTTAGAATGTTCATCAGCCGATCAGAATCAAGCATCCAATGTATGATATTTGTTAATGTTAGTTAATATACAGTATATACTAACGTAACTATGGTTACGTAGGCTAGGTCAGATCCAATGAAATAAAATGAACAAATATATTGTCAACTATTCATTTAGCAATTTATCAGTAAATTTTGAAATCAAAAGATATTAAAAAAAATGTAATTATCGTATGTCTTTATTTTTGTTTACTATTTTAACTTTATTTTAACTCGTCGTTATTGTCTCTCTGACTTCCAGGAGTGTCGACTGAACAGAGCATCGGATGCAAAGAAGTTTCGTGTGCGTCTGGAGAAGGAGCTGTCAGATAATGCCAACATCAGCTGGGACAAGTTCAGCAAAGAGCCCCATTTCACTGTGGCCCACTACGCTGGCAGAGTCAGCTACCAGATTGAGGGCATGATGGAGAAGAACAAGGTACAAACTTTATAAACAATTGCTAACAAAAAAATATGTAGCTGAACAAAAGAAGATATTTTGAAGAAGGCTGGTTGCTGGCACTCATTGACTTCCATAGTAGGATATTCTTGGTTATTAAAGGTATAGCTCACACAAAAATAAAAATTGTCATCATTTACTCACCCTGTTTGAGTTTCTTTCTCTGTTGAACACAAAAGAAGATATTTTGAAGAATGCTGGTTGCTGGCACCCATTGACCTCCATAGTATTTTTTTTTTAAATATCCTACTTATGGAAGTCATTAGGTGCCAGGAACCAGCATTCTTAAAAATATATATATTTTTTGTGTTCAACAGAAGATATAAACTCATATAAAACCACATTAAGATAAGTAAATGATGAGTTGATTTCACTTTTGACTGAACTATCCCTTCAAAGGTGCCATTTATTAGACTCCTTTGTGTGTTTAATAAAGCAGTCAAATTCAAGTGCATCTCATTTTATTTGTGTTTTGGTCTCATTTGAGTGCTTGTGTTCATGTGTTTGTCAGGACCCAGTTCCCCCTGAGCTCATCTGTCTTCTACAAAAGTCCCAAGATTCATTGCTGAACAGCCTCTTTGCGGATGGTGACCGTGAGAGCGAGGGGTCTCGGGGACACAGTAAAGTGGTCACTGTTGTGTCCAAATTTAAGGTGCACATTTTAAATGTTAAATTATATTGTTAGTGAGTTTATTAAAAGATTTATATATATATACTTTTATATGCATATTATATTTAAATAATTTGATAGCATGACCTAACAATCAACAACACACTAAACATATATTAATGTGCTAATTAATACATTAATTAACACATTAGTTAATGCTTTAATTAACATAAACAAGTTATGGACACATGTTAATAACACATTAGATAATGTTGAAGTGCAAGTATTAGTACTATATATTGTAGTAGATAGATAAATCCATTATTCCATTACCTAATGCTTTCTTAATAGTAAATCATGTCAGTACAGAGTTAAAAACCACGAATAACATGCCGCTATTAGAGTGTTAACGTGGAAAGCTCAGCCTCAACTTGAATGTTATTCATTCCTGTTAACCTTTTATTAACCTGATTTATCATTAACAAATAAGTGTTGAATACTTCAGCTCATCCATCAACATGATTTCCTGTGGGGTGATGAAGACTACAACTCCCATGATTCCATACTCGGTCACATAGTCATCAAACTACGCCTTTGTTTGTTTTAAATCCACGCCCTCTAGTGGCGAAAACTTACATTTTGTGCCTTTATTTGTACATATTGCTCAAATAAGGCATAAAGAAATTGTGTTTAATATGATCATTTGTTTGTATTTCTATAAACACACAGAATTCACTGGAAAGCCTGATGAAGATTTTGCACAGCACCACTCCACACTACACACGCTGCATTAAACCAAACCCGGACTGCAGACCACTCACTTTCCAAAAGGAAGAGGTATGGAAAATGATCTATCTATCTATCTATCTATCTATCTATCTATCTATCTATCTGTCTGTCTGTCTGTCTGTCTGTCTGTCTGTCTGTCTGTCTGTCTGTCTGTCTGTCTGTCGTCCGTCCGTCCGTCCGTCCGTCCTTCTGTCCATTTATCCATCCATCCATCCATCCATCGTTCTATCATTCCATCTGTCTGTCTGTCCACCCATCCATCCATTCATCTGCTTGTCCGTCCATCCATCCATCCATCCATCCATCCATCAGCCTTACTATCTATATGTCTATCTGTTTTTGTCTGTCTATTCATCTATCTATCTGTCTGTTTGTCCGTCCGTCCGTCTATCTCTGTCTGTCTGTCTGTCTGTCTGTCTGTCCGTCCGTCCGTCTGTCTGTCTATCTCTGTCTGTCTGTCTCATATTTTCTATCATTCCATCTATCTGTCTGTTGATCCATCCATCCATTCATCCGCCTGTCTATCTATCATTCTATCTATTGTCCTATCTAACCATTTATCGTTCTATCTTTTGTTCTATCAATTGTTCTATCATTCAATTTATCTGTCCATTCATCCAACTGCCTGTCTAGCTATCTGTCTATATATCTATCTATCCATCCATCCATCCATCCATCCATCCATCCATCCATCCATCCAGCCCTTTGTCTGTTTGTCTGTCTGTCTGTCCATCCATCCATCCATCCATCCATCCATCCATCCATCCATCCATCCATCCATCGTTCTATTGTACTATCATTCCATCTCTCTGTTTGTCCACCCATCCATCCATTCATCTGCTTATTCATCCATCCATCCATCCATCTTACTGTCTATATGTCTGTCTGTTTGTTTGTCTGTCTATTCATCTATCCATTTATCCATCCATCCATCCGTATGTCCGTCTATCCGTCTGTCTATCCGTCCGTCTGTCAATCTGTCTGTCCGTCTGTCCGTCTATCGCTTAATTCGTCCATCCATCAATCCATCTTTTGTTCTATCTATTTATCTATTGTTCCATCTATAATTTCATCTGTCTGTTGTTCCATCTATCTATTATTCAACCGTTAATTGCTGTGTATTAATGTGGCTTTTCTTTAAAAGTTACAAGTAGAAGGAGTTTATGGGTCAAATTCAATTCCTGGAGTGTCACAGCTCTGCACAGTTTAGTTCCAACCCTGCTTCAACACACCTGATCAGCGAGTTGGTTTTGGTTTTGTTTGTGTTCAGGTCATCGCTCAGCTTGAAGCCTGTGGGATTGTGGAGACCATAAACATCAGTGCAGCGGGTTTTCCCATCAGGTAACACTGCAAACACGCATCTTTTACCATACAGTCTCTGTTTAATAATACACTGAATTTAATTGCCATTTTAATTCAAATTAGAGGTTTAGTGTAAAGACATGATTTGATATATTATACAGGACAGTTGAAGATTAAAATCATGCGTGTCAATTTTGTGTTTAACTATATTTAATTGATGCATATTAGCCAGAATTGCAGTTTCAAATATAGAGAATAAGACATCAATTGTTCCAGTCTAATAGCTCAAAGCAAAATTAGTTCATATTTTCTTCCTTAGCAGAGTTTTCTATTGAATTCACTCTTAATAATGTGTATTATTTATACAGGATCCCAAATGACAGCTTCTTCCAAAGATATGGGCTGATTGCAAACAACAGACTAGCAGCAAAGAAGAAAAGTATGTATAGCTTTAAATGCGCACACACAATTTTCTTCTTTCTTGATTCAATCCCTGATTGTTATCTTGTTGTCTTCCAGTATCTTCCTCTCATTTCTGCTTCTCTTCTCTTATGAACACAGCACTTAAATTAATATGAATCTGAATTGCTCAGGTGAATTACTGCATGCTTATCTGCTGTGCAAATTCTGCATGCAGTGATGCACTACTTCTTATTGTGTTTTATATTGAGTGTTGGTGTAAACTGACTAATGTCTTCCATAGTAATAAATAGGGCTTTGTTCAAGTGGTAGAACTGTTTTGCTCCATGTTACTGCTTGTATGGTTTGCTACAGAGAGAATGTATTCCAACCATCTGTTATCTATCTATCTATCTATCTATCTATCTATCTAT